AGCATCATACCAACGGTGAGCACGCCAGAGCTCAGCAAAAAGACACGGTTTTGATAATTTGGATACATTCAAGAGTTTTTTTTGTATCCAAAGAATCTTTTCCAAGGAAAGAGTACAAAATCAGCCTTTTAAATGTAACGTTCACAATTACATCTATATATCAATTTTGGTAGCCTGTATAGCTATCATTACCTCTCAGCAGGACTTGATGTTCACGTGTTACACGATAATGCTGAATGAAAGTTCTAAACTTGAAACAGAGATTTGAAGCCAGTTCCTTGGATCAAAAAATGCCTGACGATTGCCTCTACTTGTCAGCCAGCAATTTGAACTCAAAGTATTTGCTCAGTTGAAATGCTTTTCATTTTAATCAATTCTGTTCTTTCTTTTTTTCTGCTATAAACAGGTAAATTTGACCTTCAGTATATGTATGTTATCAACTTCTGAATGCTTATTTCTGAATGCGTAGGGAAATAAATGAATTCCATTCCTGGAACTTTTACCATGTTTTTATTTTACTCTAGCTTGGTGTCTGGTAATATCAGCAAGTAGAGGCCAGGATTGTTCAAGATTACATGTTCACTAAGGTAAGGTAACCTTTCTTGCAGCTGTGAGCATGTACAGTACCTCCCAGCCAGATTGCAAGCGTCTTCAGCACAGATGAGGCATCCAAAGGAGGAGCGTGGTCCAGAAAAAGTAAGTATCTTTTTTACCATTTCACCATGAAATTGCATTAGATTTTCCTTGCTCCAAGTATTTGTGAACCCAAGCTCAGTAGTGCCATTGAGGACTTTATTGCTTAGTTCTTGCTTTTCATCTGGACCTATAACTATTCATGGAGAATCAAATCTTGAAGTGTCTCCTTCAGTGCTTAAATCTGACATCTTACTTCATGTTCAATTGTTGAACCTCATTTTACTATTTTCAGGCCAGTGAGTTGTGCCCCAAATGCCAACTTTTTCTGAGATAAGTCATGAAATGCAGTTTATTTGGTCTGTGTCGGTTTTCTTCAAAAAGCTTGTAAAAGCCCCCAAATGAAACCTCCCCCATCAGAAAGATGGTACAGGGGTACATGGAAAAATGTCAAACTATTGCCAACCTTAAAGGCATTCTGGATGTGATTTTGAATAGTTTGTCATTTTGTGCAATTGCAGCTCCTAAGTTTATTCTCCTGTTTTTGTTTCTACAGATGATTCATCATGCAAAACAAAGCAACCAAGCAAGGACTCAAGCCAGCAAGCAAGGTTTTGGTCACTCAAGGTAAACTAACCCTCTCTTTCAGCCGTTAGCGCTCAAATTGAGCCAGTGACCACAAGATCCAGGAACTGAAGACTTCGAGTATAGTTTGCGAATCGGAACAGTCGTTGGATTGCTCAGAGTGAGTCAAACTCTTTATTTTCACCTTTATGTCTCCTGTTAGTGTGTGTCGCTGAAACCACCTTGGGAGTATTCAGCAGTGCTGATGGCGGGCGAATCTCACGTGAACATATCTTTAAAGCAAAAATGCACTGATTTGTACTGCAATAAACTTAACATGTCTTGTTGAGAAAAAGGTTTGTAAAAAATCTTGATTAAATTACCTGAACCAAAATTTAAAAAAAACATCCAGATGATTTCTGCTTTCAGAAATTAATTTTTCCTTGAGTATGAATTTCTTTGTATTTTCAATTTTGGAATTCCCAAATGTAATATATTTCCAGGATGGTTCAGATAATGTGATTGTTTGGGTTAGTGATGGTGGTACATGTTGTGATTGAGTCGATGTTTGGTATTTGTGCTGTGTTT